TGGGCATTTGAATTGGAAAAGACATGGCCCCTCTAGAGGGCTTCTAGACTTTCCTGATATTTTCAAGAATATACCACAATCAGGTATTAAAACTGAGACATTATGGGCCAAATAAACATGTCTGTGGGGTTTTTATTTTGCAATTTATGATGTAAAGAACTCATCTTCTTTTGTATTTTCTGCTACATTCTTTTTAAGATTAATTTTTAAACTTTTTTTAAAAGTCAACTTTATGGAGAAGTATTTTTGGGGGGATTGGTTTGCTGGAGATGGAACCTAGAGTCTTGCGCATGCTGGGGAAGCACTCTACCACTGAGCAGCATTTCCAGTCCCCCACAAAAGTTGTGAAAATACTACAATGAATTCCCATTTGACCTTCACCTGGATTCGATTTTGCTTATTCTGTTATCTCTGATTCACGAGGACAGAACACCATGAAATGTTACTGGATCACTGAATAAAAGCCATAAAGAAAAATAAGCAAAATACAGTGTGCCAAGTTCCTGTAAGCTCAAGCACCAGGGTGGAATGGATACGAAAAGAAAAGAAATGAGCCAGATGGAAGGAAGCAGAGGAGAACCAAGTGGGCAAAGAGACTATATGGTGCCGACATTTATTTTGCCTGCTGAATGCTTAGTTTATGTTAAGTAGTAAGAGAAGCAGGAAAAATCACTGGGAACCCAGGTAAACACACAAGGCCAGATGTGCTGACAGCAGGCTGTCAGCAAAGCCTCACTACTTCCGCCATCACCTGTTTCGCCATGTGGCGTTATTTGGACAAGCTAGGCTAAATTTCAACTTGGCATTATTAATTCCTTGAGAAGGTTTGCTAAGCAAATGAACAGGATAAATGGGAAATGTGAACTATTTGCTCTGGGGGTAGCAAAAGCAAATGAACAACGTTAAAATCCTTTCTAATTATGTCAACGTCCGGAGCTTTCGTCTAACGATTCTGTCTCCCAAAGTGGGGAGAATGTGTTTTCCAAGCCATCTCATGGAGGAAACTCGACCTTAACACAAAGGTGAACATTTTTATAGGCAGAGGCACTCATACTGCCAAGTGCCTTCATAGAAATAAACAATGGCAAATATTGGGCTTTCTTCTGAACAAAGAGTGAGCTAATTACAAAGATTATCATTTGCTAGAAAGTGTCATCAGACGTGCCCAGGTTGGTTTGGAAGCTGCCTTTCCATCTGCAAATACTGACACCATGAGATGTTTTCTTTTATTTTCTTTTTGTTTTTTGAACTCAGGGTGTACACCTTGACCCACCACACCAGCCCTTTTTTGTGAAGGGTTTTTTTCAAGATAGGGTCTCACAAGCTATTTGCCTGGGCTGGCTTCGAACCACAACCCTCCTGATCTCTGTCTCCTGAGTAGGTAGGATTACAGGCATGAGCCACCAGCGCCCAGCAGAGATGTTTTATGTGACAGACTGGCTGCTAAGCGTCCATGCATTATTTCAGTGAATCCACCAAACAAGGCAGGCTTCATCATGTTCATTGTACTAACAGGAAAACTGAGACTAAAGATTCAAATCCAGGGCTATACAGCTCCCAAAGCTAGGAGTATAATACACACTACATTACAGAGATGGACAGGACGTGCCCAAAGTCAGAACCAATGGGCCAGAGAAAAATCCGCTGTGGTGTTTTGTAGAATAAACCCAACTACAGTCCAGTTTGGGGATACCTGTTATGTGAGTTTTGGAAAGAAACATCTTTCAGGCATGGCTTATCTAGCTGGCTAGAATCATAATTCATTAAGGCATGCTTTAACCAATAAATATGTGCCTATAAATTTATGTGTAAATCAAAGTTTTAAAACGGGGAATGGAAAACTGGATTCTTTGAAGATGAAATCTAATCTGAAGAAAAATACTTTCTTAGAATAAACAATTCCTTTTATAACCTATCTGAAGATGAACAGATTCCCCCTGGGGCTATGATAATGTTCTAGGGGTACAGTGATGGTAAATAATTAAAAGTAAAAAGCCAGCACCTTGAAAATGGTCTGTTGCAATGTTTCTAAGGGTGTTGCATAGATCCTGGAGAGAGGCAGCGTCTACAAAGACCAAAACATTTTTATCACTCTTAAGAGTTTCACTGTGTTGATATCTGTACTGATGGGGTGAAGCAAAGGTGGGTGTAAGTGCTGCAGCCTGACTCAAGGCAGTGGTGCCATGGGCAGGGGAGGGATAAAGGAGAATGGTGGAGGGGGTGAATTAAAGTATGGTATATTTGATATATTGGAAAACCTTTTGTAAATGCCACAATGTACCTCAACTCAGCACACAACAATTAAAAAAAATTTTTTTTAAAGGCAGTGGTAGCAAAGTCCCAGCAGCTAGTATATTCTGCATTACCACATCCTCACAATAAAACAAGCAAAAGGGCTCAAGCGGAAGAGCACTTGCCTAGCAAGTGCAAGGCCCTGAGTTCAAACCCCAGGAGCACAATACAACAACAAACAGGCAAACAAACACAAAATGAATGTTCTGTTTCAGGAAATGGTAAATACTAATTTTTTTAAAATCTTGACCCATTAAGTACACATCTTTTTAAATATTCTGTTGGAAAATGGGAAGTACACATAAAGCACTTCTGCTACAAGCCAAGAACAATGGCTGATCCCAGGAAACACGTGTGCAATTACTTGAGTTGCTGGGTGAACTAAATGCTTTTTATATGGAATGACATTTTTACTTGAATGAACAACAGACAAGTTATGGCTCTTTAGATTTGGGTATTTGGTGAATATCTTCTCAAATATGAATTAAGTAAGCCTGTCACTTCGAGGATATACCGACAGCATTTGTTGCCAGTGATAAAACTCAAGCTCTCAAGTGAAAGCAAACAGAAAACGTGTTTCCTTTACTCTGAGGTTCATAGCTTGCCGGTCCTTCAACTTTCTTTTGAAAAACACAGATGGGTGGTGATATTAACTGATGTGATTTTTTTATATTGAGTAATGACATTTCTAATGTTAACATTTAGAGGATCTGCATAACTTATGGAACTAACATCCTCCAAATGACCAACGGCTGAGGTTATAAAGTCATATGTGAGGAAAACAGCCACTTGAAGGGTAAGACAGACCAAAGGAATTTAATCTAACAGAGTCCAAAAGTCACTAACATAGTTTCAGATACCACATTGTGATGACCTTTAGAAGAAACAGTGACTTGCGAAATTTTGTAGAATTAAAAAAAGTCTAGTTATCTAAAAAGGCAATTAAAATATCCCTCCCTGTTTCAATTATATATCTGTGTGAGGCCAAATCTTCATATTCATCAGCCAAAAAAGCACATTTGTCATGAACAGTTGTACGCTCAAGTAGAAATGGTAGTCCAGTTGTTATGCCCAACGTGGAATAGATTTGAGAAAACAATGCTCCTCTTCCTATTATTTTTTTCTGGGGGAAATATAGCTGTTTTTCATTAAAAACAATATTTAAGTTCAGAAATAATGGGTTTATTGTTATTTTAAGTGAATTGATAAATGCTTGAAGGTTTTCTCAGTGCTTGTTTCTGATATGGTGAATATCACAGATGTACCAAAACTCTTTTACGGGAAGAGCATAGAAGTGTGCACTGGCCCAGACAGTTTGAGAGTGGTTGTCTTCCAGCAATATTATACTGCCCTTTCCACAGAGTACACAAGTGAAAGAAATTTTTATAGTATCTCTGAAGTACAAAGGGCAAAGACACCTTTCAAGCACAGGACATAATGTTCAATTAAAAACATTTTGGAGGGTGAGGTGCAGTGGTACATGCCTGTAATCCCAGCTACACAGGATGCATAGGTAGGATTGCAATCCAAGGACTACCCAGGCAAAAATGCAAGACCACCATCTGAAAAATAAACTAAAACAAAAGGATGGGGGATATGGCAAGTGGTAGAGCTCTAGCCTAGCAAGTGCAAGCCTGAGTTCAAAACCAGTACTACCAAAACAACAACAAAAAATCCGGGTTTTTTTTCACACTGAATAGTGTGATAACAAAAGAATGCAATTTCCCCAGAAGTAACAGATGACAGTGTAATCAGGAGCATGATCTAGAGTCTAGTGCTGACCCTACCAGTCTCTGGACTTCAGTCTTCCCATCTGCTAAAGGGAGGTATTAGGGAAGCTCTTTCCAGATTGCTTCTGTTCTAATCAGGGGTGCCTCAATGGTGCCTGCCATGTTATTTTGAGAAGTGCTCCAAGAACACAATTGGCTGGAGCTGGGCAAGCAGCTTCCCTTTCAGATGCAAGCTGACTTTCAGTCACCCCTAGACTTGCCTCTGCAAGACGTGCATCAGCAAGCTCTGGAGCTAAGGGCCCATAAGAACCTCTCAAATCTCCAGCCTCCATCAGCCAGCTCCGGGGACAGTGTTCGAGTTCCTCAACTCACTCTGCCACTTGCTGGCCGACTCACTTTGGGCAAGTTACTTAACTCCTCTTAGCCTCAGTTTCCCCAACTGTAAAACGGGGTAACACTGCCCTCAAAGGACTGTTATGAAGCTTGGCCAGGTGTTGCCTGACAGCGCTCCCAGAGCTCCCAGCACTGTATAATATTCTGCTAATTTGAGCTATTAACAACACCAAAGCACATAAAAGAATTCCCTGATCTGCTCCCACACCCCATGCCAAGTCCCTTCTTAAGCACACCTGAGGAGCACGCTCTCCTCCATCCAACTCCCAGATCCCACAGTGCCACATCCCAGTACTCTTAGATCCTCTTGAGAGCTCTACCCTCCTTTCCCACGGTAAACCCCTTCACTGAGAGCCCCACGCACCACAGCTAGGCACAGTGGCCAAACCACTGACCACGCCCCCACCCCCCGCGTCTCTTCTCCGTCCCGGACCACGAAGCCGCCCTTTCCCTCAGCTTGGAGACCACCTTAGGGCCGGAAATGGTGGTTCAGGGGGTCTACGGCCTAGTATTCCGTCCAGGGAGGACTCAGGAAGGATGAGAGAATAACCGCCAGACCTCTCGGCGGGGCCCGCGGACACTCACCCTCCATCCCTAGAGGCGGTGGTTCCGGGTGCTCGAACCGGAAGCGGCCCCTACACTGTTTGCAGTTCCCCTGGTTACTGCGGAGTTCCGGACCAATGGCGATGGAGCTTCACTCACTCAGCCCGCTTCAAGGGCGTGACGTCACGCATGCGCGTGGAACACCTCCGATCTCCCCCGTCCTGCGACGCAGAGTGCTGTGCGCAGACGCACTGGGACAGGACGCTGGGCGGCAAGGTGCGCAGGCGCCCCAGGCGCTACCAACTGAAGCAGCAATGGACGCGCTGGAGTCGTTGTTGGACGAAGTGGCCCTTGAGGGGCTGGATGGCTTGTGTTTGCCGGCGCTTTGGAGCCGTCTGGAGTCCCGAGTGCCTCCCTTCCCGCTGCCGCTGGAGCCCTACACGCAAGAGTTTCTGTGGCGGGCCCTGGCCACGCACCCGGGCATCAGCTTCTATGAGGAGCCTCGGGAGCGACCCGACCTCCAGCTCCAGGACCGGTCAGCCACCAGGCCGGGAGCCCGGGGTCGGGGGGCCGGGAGTGTGCCGGGAGAGGAGTGGAACCCTGGAGGACCAGGGGGTCTATGTGGCGGGGGAAGTGCGGCGGTCAGGCGAACTTGGGATCCCTTTGCTCTGGCAGGGCCCAGAAGTCTGAAGTTGAGGGGGGAGGGGGTCAGCTTTTGGTGTCTCTGTATCTGTGTTTGTTTTCCGGGACTTCGTCAGCAGGACTGGGGAAATTGATATTTTTCGGGCATCAAAAAGTGTTTCCTTTAAGTTGGAGGACAGAGTTGAAGCAAGAAAACAGGTCAAGACTAGAGAGAGATGAAGTTCACAAAACCTTTGTGGGGCATTGTTAGTATCAGAATAGAAAGTTCAGGCAACTAGAGGTATGCATGACGGCAGGTTTAGCAGACATGCTAATAGCTGAGATGTAGCCGGGCTTGCTAAGAGCTGGGCTCTAAGATCTTGTTGATTGCGATCTGCGGGTGATTGCGCTTACCGGATCCTCACCATGACACTAAGAAATAGGTACTTGTTTTCCAAAGGAGGAAACAGCCACACAGAGAGAAGCTAAGGCACCTGTCTGCTCTCTTGTGTGTGCTGGGCATCCATACCAGGACCTCATGAATGCTACGCAAATACTGTATCCCTGAGCTACATCTCCAGCCCTTTTTAAAGATTTTATGTTAAAAAAAATTTTTTTTGGCAGTACTAGAGTTTGAACTCCAGGGCAGTCGTAAGCAGGCACTCTACTACTTATCCCACACCCTCAGCCCTTTTTTTGCTTTTATTTTTCTGATAATGTCTCACATTTTTGCCTGGGATTGGCCTTCAATGACAGTCCTCCTATCTATGCCTGCACCTTAGCTGAGATGATAGGTGTGTATCACCATGTCCAGCTTGTTTGTTGAGATGGAATCTTGCTAACTTTTTGCCTGGGCTGGCCTCGAGCTGCCACCTTCCTGGTCCATCTCTGCCTCCCAAGAAGCTGAGATTACAGATATGTGCCACCTTGCCAGGCCTTAAAATTTTTATTTTGAGACAGGGTCTTGCTGTGTACCCTTGCTAATCTGGAACTCTTTCTTGATCCTCCTGCCTCAGTCTCCTAAGTAGCAGGGATTATAGGCATGAGCTTTTGTGCCCAGCAAGTTTGTGCTTTAAGCCAAACTTGAGGTAATAATGTTCAATAAAAGACTAAAAGGTTGGATTTAACCTTTAAAAGTGGCTCTTTGCCACTAGTTGACAAAGAGTGCTCTAAATAGAGAAGAGCAAATGACGTGTAGAATTGGAAGTAGAGAATGAAGAGTAATAGTAGACACCTACATATGCTTCTTATGAACTGGGACCATTCTGAGAAATTTGCACATAGCAAGCTATTTAATTTCCATTACAGCCTGAGGTGGGTATTATTATCCCCATTTTTCTGGAGAGAAAAATTGAGGCACCAAGGAGTTAAGTGACTTGCTCAAGGTCACCAACTAGGAAGAACACATTTCCAGAATTTGAACCCAGGAAATCTGGATGCTGAATCCCCTCTGCCCTTAACCAAATTGACTGAGAGATAATCAGTGACAGTTTAATCCATTTGAAGACTTTATCCTGCATCACAAAGGCTGGAGGAGGGGGCAGAGTAAAGCTGAGAGATTTGGGCTGACTTATGACAGCGGGTATGGGGATTGAAGGGGAGAGGGGATCAAGACATGCATGTTAGGTAGAACAGCAGGAGGAGTTGGTGACTGGCTAGATGTGGAGCATGGGGAAAGGTGGAGATGGAAGACAATGTCCCTGGTATGTGAACTTGGGCACCCAGAGAATATTATCCCCTTCACTGAGGCAGAGAACCCAGGAGAGCAGTGGGTGGCTGAGTATGTGGGGCAGGGGAGTTCTTTGAGAGGCTGGCTGAGCTTCCAAATGAAGACTGTTTAATAAACATCTGGTTTCCTGGGAGGGCACACCGCCAGAAGGAGCTCTGAGCTAGACCTCGGTGAGTCATCCCCTCTTTGGTAATTAAGGCCCTGGGATAGGAGAGAGTGCTTGTGATTGGAGGCCCTCTGATCCCGCCTTGAGCTGCACCCACATTTCCAAGCTGGATGGACAAGGCAGAGCCTTCCACACAAGACTAAGAGGGAGAGGACAGGCAAGCCAGAGCCAAGTCCTGGAAGCGTGATTTGAGAGTGGAGGGTAAGTAGTGCAGCAGTACCAGAAAGGAGGAGGAAGGAAAAGATCGAAAGTGAATACAGTAGATCTTTGGTATCTGCAGGTATCTGATTCCAAGGAATCCACTGTTGAACTGCGCATGGTCAGGATGCACAGTATTCAGTGCTACCCTGTGGATGCTGGATTCATTCTCAAAACACCACCCAACATCCACTGAAGACATGAGCCTTTCAACAAGTCTGACATTTTCACTGTACCACTTCAGTGAGGCACATTTCACTTTTACCTTGCTTTGGGGACACCATTTGCTTTTTGAGAGACATGCCATATAAAATGAAGGGCAGGGAAACAATTATTTAATCACACAATGATTTAAACAGAACTGATGAGAGTGTACATCAACTGAACTTTGGAATGTACATGCAGGGATTTTCACTTTTGACTTTTTATTTACTAAACTTAGTCAAAATCATGTGTAGTAAATCTGAGAATAAGCAGCTTACTATATATGGATGGGATTTAGCCTCAACCAGATCAGTATGGGATGTGAGCAAGATCCAAAGGAAGAAGCACGAGGATACTGGGAAGGGGACGGGGCTCAGCTACCATGAGGGAGAAAGAAGAGGCCTGATTGGAGGGGAAGGGAGGCAGTCAGAATTGTTTGGTCTCCTGGAATTTGAGGTGTTTGATTGGCAGCCGAAGACCCTGAATGGTGTGTAGGGGAAGAGACACGACTGAGGATCCTAAGTGAGAGCTGTCAACATGCCAGTGATAGAAAAGCCATGAAATTGAACAGGGTACTGGAGAGCTGACTACAGACAGATGGTAGGGTGACAAGTTAGGAGAAAGTCTGAATCATTGAGTCCAAGCTTGGTGACCTGTAGATTAGGCACCGGATTTGGAAAGAAACCCAAAGGTCATGATTGAGGCCCGTAAGGTGGTTTGGGTCCCAGCATCCAGCTTCTGGGGTGGTTTGGGGGATCATGGAAAGGTCTGTTCTGTGGGAAAGACAGGCAAGGAACCCACTTGTCAGGACCGTCTGCACTTGTGAGACAGGAAGACTGAGCGTCCTCACATCTTCTGTGGTCTCTGCTGGGGGTGGTGGGAAGCACGGTGCATTGCTCCTGAAGCCGAGTGGGGCTTCAGATTTGTGCTGTCCCACAGGTATGAAGAGATTGATTTGGAAACTGGAATTTTGGAGTCCAGAAGGGATCCAGTCCCTTTGGAGGATGTCTACCCCATTCACATGATCTTGGAGAACAAGGATGGCATCCAGGGCTCGTGCCGGTACTTTAAGGAGAGGAAGAACATCACCAATAACATCAGGACCAAGTCTTTGCAGCCACGTTGTACGATGGCCGAAGCCTTTGACAGGTAACTGAACTGCACCTTAGAATTTCCGTCGACTCTGCGTCGGCCTGGCCACATGCTCAGCACCTGCGAGTTCGCCAGCCCTTCACTGAGCAGCCCCTGCCTTTCTTCTCTCCGTTCCTGTGGGCTGCCTGAGGTCAGGCCTGTCTTTCCCTACCCTTTGAGCCCACAGTCCCAGCACAGCTGGGGATGGTGGGCAGTCAGCATTTGCATGGTGCCTTTTTTCTCCTTTCTTCATGAGTTTTCAGTCAATGTCCTTTTGTCTTAGACAGACCAATCAAATTGTCACTTTTTCAATCCCATTCGCTTGTCTTCCTACCTTACAGGATGGGAGAAGCTGCCAGTGTGGGCCATCCTAACTCCCCCCTTCTTCTTCTTCTGTGCTGTGTCCACATTTCCCTCCCTTCTCATCGCAGGAGAGGAGAAATTGTGGACACCCAAGGCTGTGGTCTGGAACTTCTCTTCCCCTCATGAGCCTGGCTTCTCCACCTCATGTTCTTTCCTTCCTTTGTCCAGCTGCTCCTCTCTCCCAGACTTCCACCTTGTTCTGTTCTCTGGTGCTTTCCACTCAGCCCGCTGACACCTCACAACTTACCCTCCTATTGGCTGTGTGTCATCTGTGGCCAGCTGTCTCTCTGTCTTTGGCATGCTTCTTGGAAGAGACAGCTGTGTTCTCTGCTTCTAATCTGCACCTTCCCTTCATTCCTGTGCCCACTGCAGACCTGAGTCCTGACTTGTTACTTCACCACTTTTGAAATCCTGAGTAGCGAGTCCTTTGTCCCTTGGCCCCTTGCAGCTTTAGGGCTACTGCCTTGTCTTCTGCAGTGCTCGTCACTGGTGCTCACTAGCTTCTTTGTGGGTCCCCTGCTTCCTCCAGCAGTACATGCTGGCTGCTCGGTGCTCAGTCTCCCCAGCTTCTCTCCCTATAACCGGCCCCTCATATTCCATGAGGTCATCAGTCTCCTTCAGCCAAACCTGCCTCCCTTCCTTTTCTCTTCTCCATTCTTTATTCTGGTCAGAGGCACTCCCACGCATCAGGCTGCACAAGCCATCAGCTTGGGCCTCTTCCTAGGCCCCTTCTTTCCCTGGCTTCTCCCTTCAGGTATCCAGCATGTCCTGCTGACCTGATTGTCTACATTTTTCTCAGTGCAGCAGTTTCCCCTCCATAGTGTTGTCACTTTTCGGTGTTCTACACTGTGTGGAGATTTCCTGAGATGGAAATGTGATAGCTGGTGCTCTGATCCCTCAGGGCAGAGGTTTCAACCACCCACATCTGCCCACAGACAGGCTTTGTTTGCCTAGCCTGGGGCTGTGTTTGCTTTTAATTTTATTTCATTGCTAGTACTTAAAACCATGCTTCTCTTGAGAAATCGCAAGGGCAGCCACACTGGGACTGATTCTCATCAGCAGTCAGTAGAGGCCAGCTGCACCCCTGAGCTCTTCATTTCTTCTGCCTGTCCTCCTGCTGTGGCCCAGAGGCTCTTGATGACCTTGTCCCTGCCCACCAACTCTGTCACTGGGACCCTCGATGCCCCTCTTTGAACTGCGCATCGTGGGAACTTGTCAGGCAAATGATGTGCTGTGCACTGTGCCTTCTGCACAGAATGGCCTGCCTGGAGACTTTCAGTCTGTACCTTCTATGCCTCATCTCAGCATCAGCTTGATCCCTCACAAATGTCCCTGCTGGCCAGGCACCTCCACATCACCCTGTTGTAGTCTGGCGAGGAGGGAGGTGGCACAGTGAACAGGCCATGTTCGATATCAAAAATTTGATAACCTGCGTGATGAGCACAGTTAGCACTAGCAGGAGTCATTGAATAGTGCCTGGATGGTTTGAGGGTTTGAGGTGTTTTCACAGCACTCTCTTGTCACCAGACCACATTCAATTTAAGGGAGGAACTGTATCCATGCTATTCACAGCCAAATCTCTCATCTAGAGTATGCCTGGCACAGAGCCAGTGTCTGGTTGGCGCCATGCTGACTGTTGGGTTTGAAGTTGTGGCCTCCAGCCCTGCACTGGGCATCGTAGAGCTGGTGGGAATGTGTACCTGCTGACCTTCAGGCTTCCTCCTTTTTCTGCTATGTATCAGGCTGCCTGGCCTACCACCCCAGCCTCCCAGAGGAGGCCTGGCCCTGCCCTTCAAGCTCCTGCCACTTGGCAGGGGCTGCTCCTTGTCTTTCTCCATTTCACCCACCCAGCTCACTGCTGACTCCTGGAGAGGGCTCCCTGGTTGTGCTGCGTGCACATGCTCTGTTTGCGTGCAGAGGTGTGAGGAGCTCTTCATTTGTGTGCCATTTCTTAGGATGGACACCCAGAGGTGCAGACTGCCAGACAAGTTCCCACCTCGTGGTCGGACTGCTTGGTTTCAGACTTTTGCCTTTGAGACTGAACTCCTTGGTTTCCTGGCACTTTGCACAGTGCTTAGTTGGTATTTGATCACCTGAATGGTGACCACAGTCTACAAATTAGAAGTAGCAGGAGCCACTGAATCAGTTAACTGGCAGTAGTTAACAGAAATGTTGGAATTGTGACAGGACAGAGTAGTAAACTCATCTGAGTAATAAAATTTAAGCAGCAAACTCATTCCTCCATTTTTAGACTTTTTTCCAACTGAACACTATTAATTAAACTTAATGAACCTGTTTGAAAAAAGACAGCAGAGGTCCTGCATTTGTGACATTCAGACACAGATGTATATTCACAGCCTGTTATGGTTTTTGAAAGCAGACTATTGATTTCTGCAACTTAGAGAGGAAACTAATTGTAGCTCATAAGTAATCTGGAGGGAGACGCAGAGCCAGCATCCTTTTCTTTGGAGGTGAAGGGAAAATCACCTAAGGTGGGGGAGGAGCCTGTGAGACTGAGATGAGGGCTGTGGCTGCAGTTGACCTCAGGTGTGAACAGCCCATCTGGGAAGGGTGGACATGGCTCCAGAGGGTAGGGGTTGGTTGCCTGTGTGCAAAGTCCATAGGGGTCCCCTTCATTGGGCTCTAAGTGGTCCTCCAACTGGGTAGCTAGGAACCAATCAGCAAGGGAGTGATGGGTTTTCTGCTTGCACATTCTGTAGGGTCTCCCCACTGCAGGGCCAGGGCTGGACCCCCCAAGTGAATGGAGCAGGTCAGTCCGTGGCAGACAGCAGATAATTCAGCAGGCGAGGCAGTGGTGGAGTCGCAGCTGTAAGTGTGGGGAGGCATAGGAAGTACTGGGAGAATGTAGTTATCTCAAAGTGCCTTGCTATGAAGTGTTGGGGCCTTTTTAGGTTGTTATTTCTGATAGCACATCAAGTCAGCACATTCAAGGTCTGGTCTCTACCAGTAAAGTAAAACCTAGACCGCTGACTACATAGTTCAGCGTGTTTGACCCTGGAGTTTGTTTTATCAGTCCATGGAGCCCATGCTATGCACAGATTGTTGCAGGTACCAGGGATGTCCTGGTGAATGAATTGCCTGGTCTGTGGCACTAATGCTTGAATAAGGAGCACATGTGAGAACTTTGTGGGGGTGGGGAGAAATAAGGCCATTTCCAAGAGTGCTGAGTGTGTTGAAGAGTATGGGAATGGTTAGGGTAGAGCTGGAACTCTTCTGTAGTTAGGATTTTCTGGAAAACCCAAGGGGTTGACAGCTGAGCCATGACCTGAATTATGGGAAGGAATGGTCACCTGAGGTTCTGATGGGAGCAGCCAGTAGAGGGAGCAGCGTTGGCAGCAGCCCCAAGCTTGTTCTAGAAAGAAGGCCCAGTGGGTAGGAATGTAGTGAGTGAGGCAGGGAGGACCAGGTCAGGGAGGGCCTTGCAGGCCTCAGTGGGTAGTGTGGATGTGGCCCGGGAGTCTTGGCAAGCCCTGGGAAGGCTTTAGGCAAGGAGATAAGATAAGATTGGATCTGCTCACTAAGCACATGGTGTAGTTCTAAGACTGAAAACTTGCTTGGCTAGATTTGGGGGAATTGTGAACACAGAAGCAGCAGAAAACGGTGGCTCTGTCGGTTGAACTTGCTTATGCACACACTTGTCTCTGACATGCAGGTGGGGCAAGAAGCTGATCGTCGTTGCCTCCCAGGACATGCGCTACAGGGCCTTGATAGGACCCGAGGGGGACCCTGACCTCAAGCTCCCTGACTTCTCCTACTGCATTTTGGAGCGATTAGGCCGGTCCAGGTGGCAAGGGGAGCTGCAGCGGGACCTTCACACCACTGCTTTCAAGTAAGGGGGGGGTTGTGTCTCCACCTTGAAACAAGGGCTCATTGGTCATTGCACCCTGTACTCTAAATGCAGGCCTGCTGCTTTGTCTTCCCCCAGGCATGGCTTTTTGTTTCAAGGCTGTTGTCTCCCAGTGACAAGAGTCTTAGACTGGCTACATAGGAGGTGTGTCTCTGCTGTTTATGTCCAAGTGAGAGACACTGTACCTGGTGGGGTAAAACTACCAACAAAACAAAACAGTGCAGCCCACATTTTTGTCCTCTTTGCAGGGTCGATGCTGGGAAGCTTCATTATCACAGGAAAATCTTGAACAAGAATGGGCTTATCACCATGCAGTCACATGTGATCCGGTTACCCACTGGAGCCCAACAGCACTCCATCCTCCTCCTCCTGAATCGCTTTCACGTAGACAGGTATGGTGTGCAGAGAACAAAACATTTGGGTACTTCCATATCATAGCTGTGTGTGTTGTGATTTTAAAAATCTCAGAGACCAAGTCAGAATATGACTGTAGCTTTTTAAAAAAACATTTGTTTTTCTGATGTAAATAATGTTCTGCTCATTTAGAAAGCCTGGAAATTATACAGAAAAGAAAGAAAAATACGTATGCAGCCCCACAATAGGAACTATTATCATCTTGTTGAAATTTGAGAGGGGGAGTATACAAATAACTAAGTCAAACTCATTCTGACTAAAGTTCTCTTTTTTTGATGGCACTGGGGTTTAAACTCAGGGTCTTATGCTTGCTAGGCAGGTGCTCTACCACTTGAGCCGCTCCACCAGCCCTAGTAAGTCAAATTTTGATTTGTGGTTATGGTGCCAAAATTGTGGTTGAATTATATCGATTCAAAATTGGGTGTTTTTGAAACGTGCAGCCGTAATAATCACCCTGTGTGGAGGAAATGATGAGGTTCTCTGGTGTGTGGGGGACAAGTATCGTATCCAGACCACACAGCACACTGCTAAAATATGGTCCTTCCCTTCTGAGGACTAGGGAGTCCCTGGGTGTGAGTAGGTTACCTCTGACTCTTTAATCCTTGGATTTGGGGTAACTAGTTCCCATTCCATGCAATGTGGAGAAGGTCTCAATCAATATCCCACAATCCCATGCCTTCCTTTTTAGGAGTACTAGGCACCATGGTGGGGAAAGGTCCAGCTGTACAGGGCCTAAGACAAGTCACCCTGGTGAGCTATAAGTCCCCAGGCACTCCATGGAGATGGGCAGCCAAGGGATAGCCAGAGGCAGATGGCAAACCCTTTCCTAGACAGGGGTTAGGGAGTGATTGTGATTTTCCCCTGGCCAGTTGGCAGAGTCTGGCAGCTAGGCATACCCTCCAAAGGGAGGGGAGTGAACTCTCAGGAGTGATTGTAAGCCTGATGTTTGTAGCACCTGCTGTTTTGCATGTGGCTTGACCCAGAGAAAGTGCTAGACACCATGTGCAGTCTGTCCATTGAGTAGATGTCTGCCGTGAAAATCGAATCTGTGCTCCTGTGAGACATCCTGTGATCCTGACTGGCCTTCAGACCTGTGGATGGTCAAACTTTCATAAGCTCCTAATCTGTCTTCTGTGTTTTGAAGACACTTGTGCTTTGTGAATTCAGTTTTTTGTGGAGGGCAGTACTGGGATTTGAACTCAGGGCCTCTTCTAGCTAGGCAAACCTCTACCACTCTAGCCATGGCCCAGCCCTTTTTTGCTTTAGTGATATTTTAGATAGGGTCCTGCACTTTTTGCCTGGGGCCGACCCTAGACCAAGATCCTTCTACCTGTACCTCCGCATAGCTGCAATTACAGCATGCCACCACCACACCCAGTTTGCTGGTTGAGATGGGGTCTTGCTAACGTTTTTTTCCAGGCTGGCCTTGAACCATGATCTTCCTAATCTCTACCTCCTGAGTAGCTGGGATTATAGAACTATACCACCAAGTCAGGCCCATGAAGTCACATTTTAATTAGACACACTATCCATTAAATTACCATATCGTCAAACTCAACAGCTAGTATATAGCTTATGATCTACAAGGAATACCCATGAGAGTGGCCACCCTAGGGTAGGAGAGAGCACACTCAATTAATGTACACTGTGTTTCAACTTGGCCCTTTAATCCAGCAAAGTCCTCTTGTGTAAAATGATTGTGACCCAGCCTCATGTGCCAAGTAGTTGTACACAGCCCTCTCTGCCCCTCATTTACGCTTTCATTCATCAAGAAGCAGTGCAGCTGCAGAAGGGGTCGAGGTCTCTGGATCCCACCCAGTACTTTTCTTCCCTCAGACCATGAGTAGAGTCAGGCTGCCCTTGTGCAGCTGGGCTAGTGCCAGGCTCCCTGCCTCTGATGTAGCTGCCCCAGGCACTCAGCTTTTCATGGTACTGGGTTTTGAACTCAGCCTTGGGCTTGCTGGGCTCTACTACTTAAACCCCACCCTCAGCCCTTTTTGCTTTGGTTATTTTTGAGATAGGGTCTCACACTTATGCCTGGGCTGGCCTAGACTGTGCTCATTCCTATTTATGCTTCCCAAGAGTGTAACGGGGGTGACAGGCACAGCCACCATACCCAGCTTTTTACTAGATGAAATAGGGTTCCAAAAACTTTTTGCCTAGACTGGCCTCAAACCGCAATCCTCATAATCTCCGCCTCCTGAATAGCTATGTTTACAGGTGTGAGCCACCATGTCAGAACACTGAGTTTGTCAACCGCTTCCTTTAGTGACTGTTAGCTGGATAAAGGCCTTCATCATGATGTCAGCCTCACAAGAGAAATGAGTCAGAGGTAGAGACCAGGCCTTGAGGGGCAGACGCCCTGATGCAGCTAAGAGAGTGCTGGGTGTAGAGGGAGAAGACCTAGGTTCAAGTCAGGGCCCGGATTTTGGGTAAGCCTGTTAACATGTTCATGAAATAACTTCCACCCTGTTCACCTGGTGACTTAGTAGGAAATGTGTGAGAGGCCTCCTAAGGTTTAAAGTGTTCAAAAGTGTAAGAAGTTTTAGACAACCATAAGCTGTGTTAGAAAATCATTCCATTAACTGGAGTCTAGATGGTGTCACCAGCTATGTGACCTTGGACATGGGACTGAATGTCTCCCAGCCACCGTCTCCAGCTATTGCTGTGGGAGTTGGGCAGGGTGACGATTGAGCCCAGGCCTCAGGCTGTGTAGTTTGCTGTGTTGTCATTTAAGCCATGCTTTGTCATCTTTAGAAAGCAGGTGGTTTTTAGCGACAAGCCTAACTTGCTGGCCTGGCTGGTATTTCTTGCAGGAGGAGCAAGTACGACATCCTCATGGAGAAGCTGTCAATGATGCTGAGCACACGGAGCAACCAGATGGAAACACTGGGCAAGCTGAGGGAGGAACTGGTGAGCCACCTGCGGCTGTCCCAGTGGTGAAGAGAGCCTTGTCATGTGTAGATTTAGGAATGCAGCCCAAAGCTCTGTGCTGGGCTGAAACAAATGGGATTTTCCTTTATTTCACACAGTGAGTAAGTGCCCAGCCATTTGTTGAAGTTCTGCCCTTGACTGCAGTCCATTTCCCCTGGGGTTTGCCTGCCACCTGCCATTACAGTTCATGGGGGACAGTCAGTCTTGGCATTTAGATTTCCTTCCATAATGGAATTCGTTAGTTTGTTCCCAGTGGTTTTATACAGAAATAACAGAGTGGTGTGCAGAGAAGGAGGTGAGATGACAGAGGGGGGAAAAGCAATTATTGACCTGCCTGGTCCTGGGCCCAAGAGTAGAGGCCATGATGAAGTGAATGTTGGAGGAGGTGTAGGCAGCGGCACTCCCGAGTAGATGTGGACAGTTCTCAGTGGATGGTAGGAAAGATCAGGATTAGAAATTGAGGATGAAATTGCCACATGGATTGAACCATAGCACTTGCAGCTTAAAATCCAAAGTTGGGTTTTCTGGGTACTAGTAATTACTCCCCAAAGGGATGTGGTCTGTGGCCTGGTCATACACCAGGGCAACCCTTCTGCCCAGCTCCATGCTGTGTTGGTGGATTGCTAGTCTCTTTACTGTTTTTGCTTCAGTTTTTTGTTGTTTGTTTTTGGTGGCACTGGAGTTTGAACTCAGCCTCACACTTGCTAGGCAGTTGTTCTTACTGCTTGAGCCACTCTGCCAGACCTCTGATTTCACTTTTTACAGAGGGAATGTCTCCCGGTACTAAATCTATGGTGTGCCACCTCTTCAGACCAGCAGCTTGGTTTGACCTAACTTTTATTTATTTATTTTCCTCTCACACTGAGATTTCCTGTAGAAATCCAGGCTTCCAGCTTCCCTTGAAAAGTCAAGAAGCCTGCATTCACTCGTAATACAGTTAGCTGCAGCCACTTGTGCAGTAGTCAGTCCCTCTCAGTCCCCCACTTTCTGTTACCTCTCAGAAACTGGAGGAGAGTCAGTGCCAGTACTGTCCCCTGTGCCCTGCTGTTTGGGGTAGGAGAGTGTTTGTGCATAGTTGCTATGAAAAGTGGAAAATAAAAGGCAGACTAGGAAGGCCCCTGTCAGGAGACCCAAGTAGAAATGAAGAAAGTTCTTTTGGCTTAGAATCTGACCCCTTTGTTTGCATCTGTTCTTTGCTAGCCCATGTAGGCTTTGGAGACTGGGGCACCATGCTGTGCCAAGTCCCCAGCAGGGGGCTGGGGCCAGGCTGTGCTTGGGTTAGCCCTGTGGACTGTGTAAGGGACAAGACCCATGCTACAGGGCATTCTTTCGCTTACTCAGCAAATGGTTCTGTCAGTGTCTCCATTGAGTCAGAGCTGTGTTCCCCATGAAGGTGATAGAAATGGGTGGGGGCAGCAGTCCTCACAGTCACAGGCCATCCAGTGGGGGCACAGTGTGTGAATGCACAGTAGAAGAGGTGCTTGAGAGCTGGTGCAGCCACCCAGAACCAATTAGAATTGGTGGGCTTTTCCCCAATATCAGGGAAAATGGCATGATAGTGTTATTAGAGGTCAGCAGTGGTCCGAGGGCAGCAGTGGCAGGTGTTGGAGATGTGGCTGAAACGGATCAGCAGGACCAAACCAGGAATGTCTCGAGTGCCAGACTAAGGTACTGGGACTCGAGCCTGGAAATCGGGGCATCAGTGCCAGCCACAGGGAGGAACTATAGAAGAGAGGAGCAGTAGGAAGATGGGCCCCTGTAAGGAAAGGGATCAGAAGCCAGTGGCAGGGTAGCTGCTGTTTCCTTGGCCAGTGGGTAGCCATGAGGACTTGAATTGTTTAAGAAGCATTTTGGAGGTGACATTAATGTCCCTAACTGTTGACAGGTCCTTGAGGTGGAGGGGCTGGAAGGGGGATCTTAAGTGAAGCTGTGCTTTTGACAGGAGTGGCTGATGCGCCTTGAGTGGACTAGAACAGGACAGCAGGCTCCATAAGGCAGGGACCACAGCTGTCCACTCACACTCCATCCCACTGTGTGGACCGTGCCTGGCCCACAGATGCAGATGTCTGCAGGGTCAGAAGGAGGAGTAGGTGTGGGTGGAGAGGGCATGCAGCAAGGCAGATGTCAAGACTGAGTATGAAGAACTGGGGTGTTCACTGTGGTGTCTAGTCGGCAGCTGGCAGCAGGGGTCAGAGCTGAGTAATTAACCTGTAGACCAGGTGGGTACGTGAATACGGATGCTATCTTCTGGAAGGGGGCGGGGTGTCCTGCTGCTGCTTCTCTTTGCTGGGCAGATTGTGCACATCCTCCATGGTAGCCCCCAGAGGCAGGACTGCATCATCCGCCCACGCCAGCGATGGGTCAGGCTCAGTACCATATGCTCAGGGCTGGGGTTTGATGGACAAGCTTCCGTGGGGCTTTCCCTGGTGCCGGGGGCACAGTAGATTAATGATGGGTGCCATGTACAAGCCGGTGGTTCAAATGGGCCATCTGGGGCTCATCTGTATTTTTGAATAGCCGTATGTTCTGCTGCCCAGCGGCTAGAGTGCTGGCCCATCTGAGAGCTGAGCACAGATGTGTGGCGGCAGCAGCCAGAGACACTTGCTGCCAGTCTCTCCTCCAGTGTGAAGAGAAACCTTGAAGACTGGGAGCAGCACTTAGCCATGAGCGCCTCTTGTTCAGTCTGTGGACAAGACAGTGGTACCTTGCTCACTCATCCAGAGATTGCAGGACCAAATGGCAGCAGGCCAGGTGGGCCGGGTGTGGGGTGTTGTGCTGGCAGCATAGATTTAGAATCCACTTTCCTCTTAAGGACTATCAGAAGGGCAGTGCAAAAATGGGGGTAAGCAACAACTGAGCTGCAGTTTCCTGGGCTGAAGGTGTGGTAGGAGCATGGGCCTCGTACCCTGTTGCAGCTGTGTCCACAGCATTGGCTGCCAGGCAGCTCTGCGAGAGGCTGGAATCTGGTTTCTCTTCATGTGACTACTCGCACTTTACATTGTCAGCAAGCAAAGTGCTTCAAAAAGACTGCATTAGAAGGCCTCTCTGCACTGGAGGTGACCCTGCAGCAAGGACATCCTTGAGGTCATTTGCTTGTCTCAGCCTTGCAGAAGTGTGTGAGAAGGTGGACATATTCATCTTTTTGGACCACATTGTAAATGTTTTTCTAAGTCTCATTTTTTTCCTGTTTGTTCCACTGTCTGTGGGAAGTGTTTGTGCACATGTGTGTGTATAATTCATGCTCTCACTTGGTTAAAAAAAAATCAAACAATGTGGAAAGGTATCAGGGGAAAGGTCTCCTCTTGGCTCTCCTCCCATCTGCCTCATCCCCACCCCATACCTTTTCAGGATCTCTTTAGCTGAATCTCTTTCCCTGTCTGGTAATTAAAAGGTAGGATCATTTCAACCAGACACAGTGGCTCATGTCTATAATCCCAACTACTCGGGAGGCGGTGCTTGGGAGAGTCCAAGCCTGGGCAAAAAATTAGCAAGACCCTATCTCAACCAACAGGCATAGGTGAGAAGGATTATAGTCAGGCCAGCCAGGGCAAAAATGTGAGACCTTACCTAAAAAATACCTAAAGCAAAAAGGAGCTCGAGGTATGGTTCAAATGGTAGAGTGCCTGCCTAGCAAAGTGCGAGGCCCTGAGTTTGAGTTCAAACCCCAGTAATGCCAAGAAAGAAAAAAGGTAGAATCGTTTCTGTCCTGCTCTGGACCTCGTTTGTTTCCCCAACACTGTAGCTTAACAGTCTTTCCTCATTTTGTCTCTAGTGTTTCCTCCTTTAGGGTAACAATTAATTCATGTCCTGAGCCTATGTGCGCTTACCTGATTGAGGAGTCGATTGCTTGATGATAGCTGTGACTTGTGTCTTGGCAGGGGCTGTGTGAAAGGACATTTAAGCGCCTATACCAGTACATGCTGAACGCCGGGCTGGCCAAGGTGGTGTCCCTTCCCCTGCAAGAGATTCACCCTGAATGTGGACCGTGTAAGACCAAGAAAGGTAAAGGTGGAGGCTTGGCTTCTGTGCCTGGGCTGGCTGGCTTTCCTTTGTCTCCTCTGAACATTAGCCTTTCTCGCAGAGCGCACCCTGCCTTGCAGTGCAGTTATTTCACTCACTCACCTCTTCTGCTCGGTGCCGGCCCATGGCCCAAATAGTGCCTGGAAAAGTGTTTGCTGCTTCCAGCAAACGCCTCTGCATGAATGTCCCCGAGCATCTCAAGTCATGGTGTGACAAAACAAGCGTGTCCTTTGGTTTTTATATCTACCCACTCTTCATCCTCTGCCAGCCTTTGTAAACTATAGTTGTGTGTCACTTAACAACAGGGATGCTCTCTGAGAAGTGCATGGTTTTCACCACTATGTGAATGTCACAGATGTCCTCATGCAGACCTAGATGGTGAAGGTCGGCCACCAACATGGCCTTGTGGTGCAGTCAGGAGATGTAGCAACAGGTGGGTGAGGTTCTCCCCAGTGTAACAGTAAACTTTTTATAAGTAGGGCTATACTCTAAAATTAGCATAAAACTTAACAAAGATCATAAACCAGTAGCACAGTCATTGGTTATCCTTATCAAGTCTTACGTGCTGTACATAAGAATGTGCTCTACTGCCAACACAGCTGGGGTGTTTACGCCAGCATTACCGCACATGCTGAGGAATGTCTTGTAGTGTCACATGCACAGTTGCTGGCGACAGGAATTAAGTGACACAGGACTGTACCTACTCTGTGTTGCGTGATCTCATCATACAGCCCAACAAGATTGGTCATCTCACTATCATTGTCCTACATGTAAGAAAACTAAAATTCCGAGATGCTGAGTAACTGATAAGGCCAAGCACTCAGAGCACAGCAGAGGGAAGACTCAAACCTTCGAAAGTAAGTACAATAGACGACAAAACATTAGGAGCCTTCCTTCACCTTTTATTTTTCCCTAGTTTTGATTTTTTGCCGTATGCTATTTATCTTTCCTGATGAACCAAAATCATTTTAAAGACTGAGGGTCAGAGCTTTCAGTAAAATACAATCGTCAGAGTGTTTGTCTTTTTCTTCACTCTGCCCAAATGCCACCAGAGTGATGGTAAGGATGTAAAAGGAATTCTGCCCACAAGTACAGAGAGAATAGAACAGGAATGGCAGTAGGGAGTTGTCTGCAACATTTGGCTGCTCAAAGCAGATGGACAAACAGAAATGGACTGAGCAGACTGGGGAAGCGAAATGCCTGGGAAGGGCCATGGCCAAGAACTCAAACTAAGAAACTGGAGATTCTAGCTACCTTTGAAAGCCTGCTTATGGATGGGGCTGGAGAGCAGAAGGTTGGCTGATAGTCTGCATGAGAAGCAGTGGCACCCAGTCCCCTGCTTCCCCTAGGCGCACAGCCAGATAAGAAGCCCTGTCCTCTGAGGCAGAGCTGGAATTCTTGAAGGAAGCATGCGCTGGAGGGCATCTGGAAGAGTAGGCAAGGGACAGAGTATAGTGTTGCAGAATGTGTGACAGTCTCCATAAGGGGAGGCCCTGTGGCTGCCTTTCCCTCTTTGGCCTCCTGGTTTATTTCATCCACCAGTAGCTTCCTAGACTTTTTCCACCATCCAACCAGATTCCACAGGCAAGCACTGAGAAGGCCAAGAGACAAGGATCTCACATCTGCTGGTTTAGTCACAGCTTGGCGTCCCCAGCCATAGCCTCTGAAATGCGCAGACTGATTTTTTGTTTGTTTGCTTGTTTTTGTGGCACTAATGATCAGACCCAGAGCCTCAGGCATATTGGCAGGTGCTCTGCACTGAGCCACTCCTAGACCCTCCAGTGCCTTCCTGGAAGCAAGCCTGGGCTTCTAGAATGCTTTGGCTCTGGAACACAACAACCAGTCTTACCTAGGCCATGGAATGAAGGCTTCTTTTCTAAAGAAACTGGCCAGACCAAGAGAAAAGTGAAATTTGGAGGTTCCCCCACAATATACCTTCCCCACACCAGCTCACCCTTCGATGGAGCCCAAATGACAGTGACTACTTCCTCCCTCCCTGCCCCCCTCTAAAACAGGCTTTGGGCTGGTGTCAGCACTCCACCACATTCCGAGGAAAACCAGTGTTGACAGATTCCCAGGCAACAGGAACAATGATGAGCAGGAGAAAACTAAAACCTGATTCTCAGAAGGAGATTCTGCATCTACGAAAGCAGAGCAAGTGACTGTGGAGAAGAAATGCATGGCAAATAAGAACAGCTCTTGGGAACACAAGAGATCTGACATTGCAATTACAACTTGTAGAAGGCGAGAGGGCAAAGATGAACTGGAGAGCACCCCCAGACAACAAAAACCCAAGAGATGGAGAACGGGACAGCAAAGTTAAAATAAGTGACCAGTGTCTACATGTCAGGTTCTAGTATGCTGGCTAGCTTTCCATTTCTGTAACATAGTGCCTGAGGTGATGGACTTAAAAGAGGAACGGTTTATGTTGGGTCACAGTTTGGGAGGTGCCAGTCCATGGTGTCTTGGCTTTGGGACCTATGGTGAAGCAGAACATCATGGGGGTACACATGGCATGAAAGCTGCTCACCTCATGGCATCTAGGAAGCCAAAAAAAAAGGAGAAAAGGGGTTGAGGTCCCTCCCTCCCAGGGCACGCTCCCAGTGACTTAAGTTCTTCCCACTAGGCCCTACTTCTTTTTTTTTTTTTTTTTTTTTTGTGGTACTGGGGTTTGAACTCAGGCCCTCATGCTTGCTAGGCAGGTGCTTTACCACTTGAGCCACTCCATTAGTCCTAGGCTCCACTTCTTAAAGGTCCCACTACCTAGCTGTAGTACCACACTTTTTCAAGCTACAGCAGAGAGAGAGAGCGCAAGTATAGAGGATTGGAAAGGAAGAGTTTATGAGAAATGATACAAGGAATTTCCCCAGATCTGAAAGGCATGAATTTCCAGATCAACAGGCTTATGAGGTACCTAGCAGAATGAACATAAAGATATTCCTCTTCCCAAAAGAGTTCTTTTGGACTGGAGGTGTGGCTCAAGTGGTAGAGCACCCACCTAGTGATAACAGAGCTCTCAGTTCAAACCCCAGTCCCAAAAAATAAAAAGAAGAAATCCACACTCATATTCTGAGATGTAGAAGTCTGGGGACAAAGAGCCTTCAGAGAGGAGACATCTGACTTCCCAATGGTAACTGAAGCTGGATGACTTTGGGACAAAGCCATGAAAACTCTGAAGAGAACGATCTTCAGTCTAGAGTCCTATACTCAGCTTTGTCATCAACGCAGATGAGAATAACGATGACTACTGTTCCTATCCAGCAAGTCATCTTCCCTTCCAGGAAGCTACCATCAAATGACAAAATACACCAAGGGACAGGAAAACAAGGGGTCCAGAAAATAGGAGCAGGTGAAGGAAAACCCTGGGGAGACCGACATGAAACATGACAGGAAGTCTGGCTCACAGAGCAGCAGTCCAGACAGGCAGCAGGGCAGGAGTACTCCAGGAACATGGAGGTCCATTCAGTAATAGGTCACTTGGTGTAGTGAATGTGTCTAGGGACAGTTGCACATGTGGCAGAGCATGAATTCATGAGAGCCACATAGAAAACTGAGCAAACTTGTGAACATACTCCAAGAAAGTCCAAAAGATGTACAAGAAAAAATGCTTAGGTCCTGGGTTTGCTTGACTTTGTGAGCAGACTAGACTCATTGGCATCCCTTAGTAGAACATGTGCCTAAGGTGGGAGGCCCCAACACCCTCAACAAATAACTCTGTGGCCCACAGCAGGCAGACAGCCATATTTGTTGACAGTACCAACTGCCAGTCACTTCCTTTTTTTTCCACCTTCGTTCATGGAATCCCTAAGCTTGTGAAAAGTCTTGGGAAGGAGCTGGTAACACAGATAAGTATAGTATCACAAGTGTGCAGGCAAAAAGGGGAGGAGGGAAGTCCCTAGTTCTTAAGACATTCATCAGTGCTGAGCAAATGTGGCACTGACTGACGGAAAGAGAAGGTAGTTTCAGCCTTTATGGGGAGAGGTCCACACAGTATTCGGCTGAAATCTAATGACCTGAGTACTTTAACACTTAGCCTGTTGATTAATCACTTTTATTTCCTGACCTGTTTGGAGAAAGGCATTAAAAATAACAAGCTATAGTAATTTTATCTTTAATTTTTTTTTTTGGTGCTTTTTTTTTTTTTTTTTTGGTGTTACTGGGGTTTGAACTTAGGGCCTCGTGCTTGCTAAGAAGGCACTCTACCATGTGAGCCACTCTGCCAGCGTGTAATTTTATCTTTAAAGTAAAGAGCAACTAAGGAGAAATGTTAATTCCTCATAGAACCTTTTGCTAGATAGGCAACGGTGGAAAAAGGCTTGTCTTAGGCCAGAGGTCCCTAGAAATTCAAAGCAGCACTTGGAAGGAGCAGGCGCCTGTGCAGACTTTGAAGTGGCAGCCCTGCCTTGGAGTTCTTGTTCTGTCCCTTTCCGGAGACGTGGCTTCAGCAAGGTACTCGACCTCTCAGCCCTCAGTTTCCTCACCTGGATTCCTGTTTTCCAGGGTGCTGCGAAGTTTCTGGGCAACAGTGGACACTGGATTGAGCAGTGTTTGGCTCCCAGCACTGGTTTTGTTGAATTAGTTGCTGGCGTTTAAAAATAAGTAATTTTCACCTAAGTATTATCTTACATTTTCTGGGTAAAAGTTAAACTTGGCAACATTGAAGTACCATGCTTTAATGGCACTTGGCTAGACAGGTGATGCCTGCCTTCCCATTCTCCCACAACTCCCTGCCTGCTGTTGTGGAACCCACACCTGCCCCTGTGCAGGTATGTCTCTCCATAGGACCTCTCACCCAGTGAAGCGGGGTTGAGGGGACAGTCACCTTAGGCCTGGACTTCTGGGAAAAAGGGTCAATATGACTCAGCACAGATAGTGGTAGCTTTGGCTCTGTGTGGGATGAAGAGGTAGGCAACCAAGACCACGACAGTCAGGGCATTTAGGTTGTCACACGTGTGTGTACACTCAGCCTATCTTGATTGTAA